GTCACTGACAGCCGTCTAACGTCCCAGGGGCAACTCCCATAGCAATATGGTAGAGTTGGTACTTAGTGCTCGCCATGGTTCTGGCATGCACTCCAATCAGCATGGTGGCGTGGGTATACCGTTCCCCATAGCGACCCCTAGAGGACGCAGTTCGAAGTTCCCATGAAAGGGAACGTCTCAGGTTTCTTATGTAACCATGGTTCCCTGAGTAGGGAACGAGACACTGCATCCTCTAGGTTTCTTGCCATGCTGCAGACGCAAGCTTCAGACGAAGAATTGAATGATGTGTACTCCCGGCACCTATTTATACTATAGTCGCACCGGTAGTGACGTCATGGCTGTCGCCGGCCAACGAGTTGGTGTTTTTTCAATGTATGCTTCAGACACGGGTCACGACGAGGCGTTCCCCTAGAGGACGCAGTGTCTCGTTCCCTACTCAGGGAACCATGGTTACATAAGTAACCTGAGACGGTTTAAATGTATATGCAATTCTTTATCCCACTGCTGCTGTGAAAGACATCATTTAGCACAGATGTGTATTGCAGTGGCGTTCTGTCCATGTAAGCTGTGAATGCTCCGCATACCCAGGCCATTTGAGAGAATAAGTTCACGGGGTTATTAATATAAACATTATTACAAGTTGATCCCTTGTAATTTAAAATGTAACAAAGCTTAAAGGTATAGGAATAAGTACGTAAAATGATTTATTTGCCAAAGGGCAGTCATTTTCTGTAAATCTACTTCAGTTACGGAAGCTTCCGGGCGAGCGGATTCTCCGCAGCTTTCTCGCCTCCGCTCTTTTGCTATGACTCGTCAGGATTGTTGCGCATTCTCAGTGATTTTCTGGTCTGCGGTTGATTTCATGTGCGAGGTAAGCTTGTCCGCTAAGCGCTCGCCCAAGTGGCGCCTCTGCTGTATTGCTATGACTCATCAGGATTGTAGCGCATTCTCAGTGATTTGCTGGCCTGCGGCTGATTTAATGTGCGAGGTAAGCTGTCCGCGAAGCGCTTGCCCAAGCAGAAAAATGTGCTGTTGCTGTCAGATCTCGATTGCCGAAAATCACATTGTGTTTGATGCAAAACCAACTCGACTTAATCAAAAGAAAAAAAAACGCTGTAACTGTATATTTTTTTGTTTTCTCAAGCAAAGAAAATGCTAAAAGTCCACTGAAAGCATATCTTCTTACATTTTTGGTCATAGACAATGTATGTTGAAGATATACGTTATTGTCAACGTGGTAAATTAAAAAAATATATATTTATAAAAACATGGGCTATATAAAATTGTAATAATTACAAGCAGGAAAAGAAAGAAACAATCCTCTGAACATTTTGAACATTAAGATGTTATTGTTCCTTTTGTTTTGTGTATGCTCGTGTCGCTTAGTTAAAGTCCTTCTCTGATTTTATTGTTGTTTGCAAGGTTGCAACGTTACTGTCACACCCATAGACAGTCTTGTGTTTTGTTCGCACCTTGACCCAGTTTCTCCCGTGTTTGTGCCCATATTTGGTTTTCCTGTTCCTTTTCCCGTTTGAGTTCTATTTGTTTCAGCTGTGTCCTATTAATATCCTCGTTTAGTTCCAGGTGAACTAAACTTAAAAACAAATAAAAAATCATTTAGCAGATGCAGAGACATATAGACCGGGGAAATCCCCCATCTCCCCACCCTCTGAATAGTACGCATCATAACGTAACTACGTGTAAATGTTATTTGGCGGTTTTTACTTGGAAAACCAGCTATATTTTTCTTGCATTTGAATAACAATGGATAAATCTGAAATGATAGATGAAGGATTTGGAGATTCATTTTATTTACAAATAAAGTAGGAAATGTGCATACTTTTAAATCGACACCTGCCACGGTGTTTCTTATTTGTCATCTGTGATCCCTCTGAGTGTGTCCTAAAAGCCAGAGGAGGGTCTTAATCTTATCACTCTGCATACCCGGTTAAAAAAGTCACCGCTCGCCACTGGTGTATTGTCCCAAAGAAACCAGACCAGAACCAGACCAAGGTTTTATAGTCGTTTTTCAGCGTTTCTTCTTGTTACGTGAATATTTCAGGTGTTTCACATGTCTCGCACACTTGCCAGGATCTAGAGCACACATTGAGAGGAGAAAGGATTGTTGAGAAATGTTCAAAATTTTACCCATGTTCCTTATTTTGATCCATGTGAGAAACATGCAAAACGGTACAATAACGCTCTTACCTGTCCACTAAAATGGGTAAGAACTTCATCTAGAAATGTGTATTACTTTTTATTCTGTAGAAACTTCTATGCCTTTTTTTTGTGTGTAAAATTATAATACATTTCATGATGGGTACTGACAGTTTAAATTTTCCATGAATCTTTTATCTCTCAGGTCAGGCGCTGCAGTGTTATGAGTGCAAACTGGGTTTCTGGTATCTTTGCATTACAAGCAAAAAGACGTGATGCTGGTAAGCACTGCTTCAGCGGAATAGGGAAAGCTGGTGAGTTTATGCTCTTCAAAAGCTGTTGAACACCTTTTGTTTTATGAGTTTTTTAAGCTTAATCTGTTTTTCTTGCATCTCTATTTTTAGGTGGATTAGTGGATATTAAGATGAAAGGATGTCTTGAAGTGTCCAATTGCAACAAAACTGTAGAGGCGAATTTCCCGTCCAATTCAAGCACCAAGGTACTGTATACCAAATGAAGAAGACGTGCTGCTCTACTGACCTGTGTAACTCGGCTCCGGGTCACTTTCACATGTCTGCCGTCAGCATGGCCTTCGCTACCATCAGCTCTGTGTTCACGGTCAAATTCCTCATTTGAGGAGGATTATTTCAGCTCACACACAATAAATATATATATACAACAACATCACTGAGCAAATCATGCATACTAAACAAGCCAAATTAATTTGTTGCAAAATAATTTATGGAATGAATACTCAAGATAGGTCACACACTGGAATTTAAAAAGTTTTCAAGTAGATTGCCCAGTAGTGATAATTTCAGCATACCATCAAGTTGACACTTTTTCTACATAGATACGTAGCATGAATTTATTGAATATCAACAAAGAAGACCATTCTGGTTATAGATAAGCACCTCACCCTACTAGGGGTTGAACGACTTTTTTAAAGTCGACTTTTATGTGATGAAAGTCGAGTCGAAGTCGACTAGTCACTGATGATGTCATTAATGAACAAATAAGTCTGGAGCTGTGACTTTTCAGTTTCAAAGCTATTTTATTGAGAAATCACAGAACAGTCTTGACAATACATTTCCGTGCTTAATGATTCTGTGTGCGCGCGATCTGCGCGTGATGTATGAGCTAGTGTCTGTAATGTGTGTGCGTTACAGTGCAGCAGTGCATTAAGTCAAGTCAAGTCACCTTTATTTATATAGCGCTTTTAACAATACAGATTGTGTCAAAGCAACTCTACAGC